CACTCACATTTGTCAGTCGGGTAGGTCATGGATGCTCAAAAAGCGAAATCCCGAGGAGACACACCCGGGCATCGTATCGTAACGTAGGCATGGTTGGGTTGCATATGATGATCCATGTGTCATTATGCCGGACTTAACAGTCAACATTCCTAGAGCTTCAGGCAAATGCGTGCACACAAATTCGACCCTACCGGCCAAATCGGCGGCATGTGCGGCTTCCCCACAGCTCTATCTATGTCTGCTGCCGCGGGATCGATCTGAGTCACTTGCTGCAAGTCATCCGCAACAATAAGGCTCTCTCAGTGGCGGTCATTTGATCCCCTCCGCCTAGTGTCAGCCGGTTGAAGCACTTAGGCATATCGCGCTGAGACGCAAACCCACAAGGTCTAAATTCCGTGCATTCCATCTCTGTGCCGAGGGTGTGTTTCGTGGAAATGCTGGACGATGGATTTGCCCATGTCTAGCCCTTTGACCCGTGTGAATCCGGCAAGCTCCAAGGATAGAAAGCCGATGTGCTCGCTCGCCTTGTGGATCCCCTTCCGTCCGTCCCAAAATCGTTGAGGCGTGGGGGCTTGGGGTAACCCCCATATCTTTCTCGCTCGCCGCTATCGAGGCGGATGATCTACATACATCTGGTTCCCTGTCCCAGCGCTTGTTATCGGACTCCTGGTGCTATCTGTAAAGTTAAAGTAACATATGTATAGGTTTCATCGCCGCGCCCCTTCGTGCGCGTGTGAGCGTCATGCCGTGTTGTTCACGTGAGGGCGACTGACGACCTGCCATACTCGGTACTCTAACATCGTGCCGTCACTTGTCGCTTGATAAGAAGGAGGAAACTACCACCTCCGTAGTTGGCCGATAAGTGTGTACTAAGGCCATCTAAGAGGAGGCTAGGTAATGCTCGGGAGGGGGATCATCGCAACGTTTCCGAAGCTCTCCATCACGGCAAATACCCCACGTCGATCCGTTATCGCTCGTCCCCGCGTCCTGGCCGAGAACCCTGATTTACCGGAGGCACAATGCGGAGATACTTTGCCCGGGTTGGTTTCCCAGGTAATGGCGAATGTGTTCCTTCTGGCGATACCGGAGGTATTAATATCCAGGTCTCTTGCCGGCATCTCATGGTGTCATCACCGGGGACAGCCGGCAATGATGATTGCATTATCATCGGACATTAGCTTCCTACACGTTACCGGTGTTTATATTGAGGTAGAGTAAGCTAACTGTTCCTTCATTACCTGGAAGGTAGCCATGATGTTGCAAACGTGCTCCCAGTAGGGTTGATGGACTCCTGTTCTGCATACGATATATTATCTAGCAGCTATCCCAAGAATGCCACCTGCTCATGTCTATTTGTCATTATCATGAACTGGAACTGATCCAGGCAATGAGTGCCGATTTTGGATCTTTCACTGATGGAGTCGGAAGCTCGTGGTGGAAGCACCTCAAGGCCGAGAGAGCTAGCCATAGATTGAAATCAGTATCCGTCTGTATGGACAACCTAGGCAAGTCACTTAAAGAGGAGTATGAATAATCACGCATGTAGAACGAGGGGAATAAGACACGCTGCCAAGTATGAAATGTTATGACTTCATGTTCAACGAGTGAATGTGCCGCAAATACCGCCATAGACAACGCCAACAACTCCTGGACCGCCCAAGCCGTGCAAAGTGCACTCGACCAACACAGAGCTTTATATCTAGCTCCGTAGAGCTTCTAACCGGTCTCGCATCTGATCCATGAGGACGTCGGCGTCCTCCTCCTCCTCCTCCTCTTGCGCTGCCACAGGCTTCTGGGGCTCTGGTATTGGGGCTGCCGGCAATTTGGTCTCTTTCTTGTCTTTGAGAATCTCCCCAAGAACCTTGTCGACCTCGCCCTCTGCCTCTTCTTCCAGCTCCATGTCGCCGTCCTCAGGCAATGTGTCCTCAACCATCTCTTCGATGATACCAGCCTTCATCAGCTCAGTGCTCAGCTCCCTCATGGTCACCATCAACTCTGGGAGGCGGATCAGGGTGTTGAGGTCCTTCATGACCCCGACGCTGGCTTTGATGGACCCCTCGATCTTGCGGACCGCAAAGGCCTCGTTGACCTGCATCTGAACACTATTGAGCTGCGCTTTGGCGGTGACCAGGCGGGCGCTGGATTTCCTCACGCGGATAAGCTCGCGGGCGAAGTCACGCACTTCCTTGTGCGCCTGCGCGGCTCGTGCGGGATCGCGGCTGGCTCTCTTATCAGCTTGCTGGATGAGGGTCTTCGTCTTCGCTTCGGCCTGCTTGACCTGGAGAATGTCTCGATCGATCTTGCGGATGTTGGAGCGGATCAATGCATTGCATTTTCGCACCTGGTGGGTAAGCCGTAAGTTAGCCCTGCCGAACAAAACAACGAATTGCTGCCCTCATACCTGCTGCTGGGGATCAGGCTTTGCGAAGAGTGCTTTGAAGGCCTCCATGGCGAGGGACAAGGGTGCCCAAACCCAATGGATCTGTGCCGACGTGCACAACCCTGTGCGGTTGAGAGCGGGTAGGGGCTTCCTGACAACGAGAGTGTAGAATTCGTATCAAAGGCTGGTGATGACCGCGAGGCGCATTGAGGTTCGCCGGAATCGCACAATGGTGAAGCTCTGGATGCCTCAAGCTGAGGCTGCGAGGCTGGTTCTGGTGACGTGACCGAAGCGCTCAGGCATCCACCGGGGTGACATCTGCCGCGCGCAATGAAACGCCTATCGCCCAAGTACCTTATAAGCCTAGCACGAAGTTGCCCGTCAGCAGGCAGGCATCCACCAGGGGCTGTTGGCTGCCCGGTTGATAGGCCGTACCCCGCCATTTGATAGCCATTGCTACTCGCTCTGAGAGAGTACACGGCCTTCGCTCTGTTCCCGAGATTCGGATAAAAGAAAATTTTCTTTGCCTTGTTGATTTTTAGCACACAAACGATAATATTTCCGAAATTTCCAATCAATCGGTTCGTGAGGGCTGTTGTTATGGTTGTCAAAGCAAACGGGTAGCTGCAGAGCTCAGCTTCGCCCGGTGGGGTTTACGTCAGGTACCTCCCCGCCGTGGAAGTGTCTAGATTATCTTAAGGCTGTACCTCGCTGCTTGACGTACAAGTACCTGCCAGCCAGGTACCGCGTTAATGGCACACAGCCCTCATCTTTCTGGTTCTCACACATTCCATTTTCTAGTACCCAGCCTTCGCGGGCAGCCTCATTAAGTCGCCGCGCTTGCTGCTGTGACTGACCGATCCTTCTTTCCTGCACCTACTCCAACCAAGTAGCCAATTTTCCCCCTTACCCGCTCCTAATCTTCTCCTCCAAGCACATCACTAGCCTTCCACCACCCAAACGCATTTATTACTCGACAACACAAAATGGCTGAGACAGCTACCCCCGAAGGTACGTTATTGTTCCCAACTCTTCAATGAGATTGCAGCGAGCTTGGCATGCATTGCACAGCTGTGCACGCAGGGCGCGTCCCCTCTGGAAGCCCTGCACGTACGGATGAACCCCAGCTAACCTCCCCACGCAGTTCTCTGGGCCCAGCGCTCATCAGCTTCCGAGCCCGAGAAGAACTTTGTGTACCTCACCATCTCCGTCCCCGATGTGCCCAAGGACGGTCTGAAGCTGGACCTCAAGCCCGCCGGCTTGACGTTTAGCGGCACCTCTGGTACCCTCAAGCGGGCCTACCACCTCGAGCTCGAGTTCTACGCCGAGATCGACCCCGCAGAGAGCAGAATCAACCACACCGCCAAGAACGTGGAGCTTAAGCTGCAGAAGAAGGAGCTCCAGGAGGAGTACTGGCCACGCCTTCTCAAGGAGAAGAAGAAGCTCCACTTCCTCAAGACCGACTTCGACAAGTGGGTTGACGAGGACGAGCAGAACGAGGCTCCCGAAGAGGACTTCTCGCAATTCGGCGGCATGGGTAAGCAGAGCATCTTCCTTTAACCATCCCGGGGACCTACTTTTTTTCTTTTTGATCTTCCGAGACCGGGGTAAGTATTGTATCTGGGGCTAATCAGAGACAAGCAGGTGGCATGCCTGGTATGGGCGGTGACTTCGGCGGCATCGACTTCTCCAAGCTCGGTGGTGCTGGTGGTGACCTGGGCGACCTGGGCGGTCTTGGCTCTCAAGTCAACCCCGACGACCTTAACGACGATGATGACGACGAAGAAGATGATGACGAAATTCCTGCTCTCGAGGAGGATAAGAAGGAGGAGAAGAAGGCCTAGAGGCTCTGCAAGTGCAGACTGTGACGAGATACCACCAGATCACTCTAGTCTCCGGTTGCGTCTTGACCTGTTCTAATAGATGATCACTTGTGATTTAATTGGCGGATGAATAAATGAAAAAATCAGCCTACAGCTTCTGAAAACAAGGGAAGACGGCGAAATTGGGACAATTATTATGAAACGACTTGTTTTTTTTCTGTGTTCATAACTGGTTCCTGCGCCGTGAGGTTAGAATGGCCGTTATGAAAATGCAATAAACAGATACTAGTTGCATTGTTGCCTGTAGACCATGTTATTTCATCCCGTATTATCCTGTGTAGTCGGCTTCGTCACATGAGCTGCTCTTGGAGATCACTCGGGAGGTGGGCGTGTTGACCATCATTAAATGGCAACATGCGCTCACAAAGACGACTATATCTTCGACAGGGTAATAATACGAATGCTTCGTGCCTCATACCAGATTGATTTTATTGTCCACCTCGTCCCTGCTACTTAGTTGCTCTTGGGCGTCGAAAGTCTACGAGACTAGATATGGCATGCATCGGCTTCAATTACGCAAGATGTGTTACAAAGCGAAAAGAAATTATTTCTCTATTGAGACCAATAGCAGGACATTATAAGTTGCGATTTAGAAATAGTTCAAATTTGTGATAGCTATTGAGTATGTTTCCACCACTCTGTTCAGACCTTAACGCCAGCACCCAGCTCGAGAACATTTAATGAGAGCAATATTAAGCATCGATGCTTTAAATTATTGAATCAATCGATAACAAGGTTTACTGCCAACAAGTTAGTTTGACTGGATGATAAATTTCCATGATGTTTGAATGAACTGCATACCATGATCTCCTCCATCGCCTCGCCGTTAGTGTTGGCACCGGTGGCAGCGGCGGTGGCGTCGTTGGCAGGGGTAGCCTCAAAGTAATCAGCCATCTCCGAGTCGAGTTCAGCAGCGGTCTTCTTGGCCGGGCGAACATTGCGACCTCGGGGCTTCTTGGGTGCATTTGGCTTGGCATTTCCAGCCTTGGCAGCGGCACCCTTCTTATCATTGACGGCTGACTTGGGTTGAGCCTTGGGCGCACTGTTCGAGCCATGTTAGTTGACTTGTACAAGGCGATAAAGATACGTTGGGACTTACGTGGTACGCTCAGCAAGAGTCTTGACGGTAGGGATGACCTTATCGGCTTGAGCAGCACCGACAACAATCTCAATCTGTAGAGAGTTAGGATAAAGCCCCGTTGATGCGAGTGTGCGTCCAACATACCTTGATTGGGCGGTTGTCAACAAGCAGACCGTTCAGCTTCTGGAAGGCCTTACTAGCGCCATCCGCCTCGCGGAAGATGACGTTGGCAATTCCACGGCTCTGAGAGTTGGGTCCATAGGAGATCTCGACCTTCTTGATAGGACCAACGGATTGAACAAAGTACTCCTAAGGAACAAATGGGTTAGTCAACGGGTATTGAGAAAGGCCCGAAATTATTTCGACAAGTATCGCTCGATCTAGGCAACAAACAAGCTGCCAAGCGAACACAGTCCGCCTAGCAGAGTCGATGCGCAAGCGAGCAGAACAGTGAGCCAGGAGCGGCGCGCAGCTGATAGGTGCTTTGGGTATGTGTTTCCACCGACGTAACTCCAGCAGCAATGAAAATTCGAAATGATCCGCAAATGCGGTGTGATAGATTCATCAAAAACGACGTATTGCCATAACACGGAAAAGTTCGTATCGCTGTTGCGCTGGCCTGCCGGGATCAGACATACACTGTTTTGCTCGCTCGCATGGATATTCGACCGGCAGTACGACGGCAAGAGGATCTAGCTATTCGTTTGAAACGATTTTGCGCATCGAATATAATCACACACTCATCCATGAACGTGCGTCATCGGGCTCATAAGCTGACCAGGCTTTTGGAGCACTCGGTATGACCATGGACGATCTCGACTTCCTCTGATGAATCTGGTGCCATATTTCAGGAACACCAAGATGATTCAGGAAGGAGCCAGTATGGATCTTTACGATGACATGAGCCCGAGGGCATAGCGTTGTCACTCGTTCAAAGGCCGTCGTGTCGGGAATATATAAAGAGATCACAGCAAGAATAAAGATCGGAATAATCCGTGGGCTTCGATCGCCTCAACGGAAACATACCTTGATCTGCTGCTCCGAAACATCCTTGGGCTTTCCGCAGATTAGCACAAGTGAATCTATCGCCGGGGTTGGGTTAAATGCTTACCAGATTGCTCACGATGACCTTGCTGTCACCTCTGGCAGGGAGAGGCTTGGAGGGAGCGACCTTGCCACCGGCATTGCGGACAGGCTTGGTGGCCTTCTTGATTCCTCCAGCAGGGGCAGTAGGAACGGCGCGCGTGGCGGCGCGACGCTGAGATCTGCGGCGAGGGCCGGTAGAAGCCCGCTTCTGGGTGGTGGCGATCTCGTCAAGAGACTGGTCAAGCTTGCCGGACATGATGATGGTGAGAGACGAAAAGTTGCTTGAAAGGCGAGAAGATTTTTTCGGGGGTAAAAGAAAATCGACTGATTACTGCTGAGCCGTGATTATTGACTCAACAAGCGGAGAAATGGTATCTGTCGGGCGCTGGAGCTCTCGAAAGATTGGTCTGGTCGCGTTGAGGTTTGCGATTGAAAAAACGCGGTCGCAAAACCCAGATCTGCTGTTATGGGTGGGAAGTGAATGTCTTTCGAGAGCAGATGATGCACAGGATGCAAAATCAGGAAAGACAAGATCTGGGAGATTCTGGTCTTGTTATATGAGTTCGTGAGAGAGAGTGTGAATGAAAGGGTTGAAAGCAAGGAATGGAAGAAAGGGAGGGAGTGCGTAAAACGAGGAAACAAGAGAGGCGCCAGGTAAGCACAGCCCAAGCGAAGGGGGGAGAGGGGCTTCTTTGTCGGCGTTCTGTTCGTCCAGGCTGACCCGACGGCCTGCGCGCCGCCAACGCGAAAGGGTACATCCACAGTACACATTGTTACAGGAGGATGCGCTATGGTCTAGCCAATCAGAGGCGCTTAGGTTGTTCTGGTGGCACATGTGGGGCGCCCGGGCCATCGAGTGGGCAGGTATCGCTCAGTGCATGTCTGGCGCGTCAGTAGGAAAGCGCCTGCTGCCTGGGCCATTGTGTTCAGCCACAATAGGAGTGCGGCAGGTACGTCAATGAAACAACCGAGCCGCAGCGCTGGTGCTGGACAGGGTCCAATTGACCGAGCATGGAGACATTTACATCAAACTAGAACTGGCCTATTTGCGCACAGCACAGGAATAAGCTGATTAAATATAATCGAGGTGAAATCTCGGGCTAATATTCTGGCATCAGGAGCCCGTGATTGGCCTAAGCAACATCCTCCAGCGGGTAGCGACGCAGTCGGGCATTGGCCCCTTGGTCGCCTGACGATCAGCGGCAGGCTTTTGAGTAAGTTGCGAGACGCCAGACAGCTGTATTGAAGCGATTCGCTCTTTGTTTTCAGAGATTTTCATTTGCTGCTTGCTTATGTATCATGCGCTCGATTATGTACAACGGTTCTCCCAAGTCCGAGACCTAACTCATAACGCCATGGCTGAGGCCAAATTTGCCGATATTCTTTCGAACCACTCTCTCTGGTTCATAGCCCAATCTAAATATCCCGGGAATCCTAACAGTTGCGAATTGTGAATTGTTTGAGTAGGCGTGAGATCTTGGCTGGCCCTCTTGGCTGGCCAGACAGTTACGTGATGAGGGATTGTGTTTTGATCAAAGACTCGCTCAGATGTAGATCTCCCGATCAATATCTTCTGGTTGTCTAGATCGTGGTGGGTGGAGGAGGGGCAGCGAAACATTGTGCTTGGGAAAGAAATGCGAATTGTCGTGATTGGAACATATCGCCTTGTTTAAAAGAAATGGGTTTCCGCGAATAGGTGAGCTTAAGACTTCACCGGCTTCTCGTTCTGAGCTATGTTCTCGGGGGCATTGACTTCGAAATAATGATACACGACGATGAGAACCATAGAGGCCGAACCTAGAAAGATGGCAAGGGTGTAGAGGTCGCCGTCGGAAATCATTGTTACTGCTGGCTGGAATCGGTTCTTGGTTGATGGCGTAGAGTGTTGTTTGAGCACTAGAAAGTCCTGTTAGAAAGTTATGCGCAAGAAAAAGACCGAATTGATGTTTCCTCACAGAGAATAAAGAGACCTGGGTCGGGAAAATGAGTGAATTGAGGTAGGGAAAGTTGGTATCGCGATTGTTGAATTGAACAGGACAGCTGTTACGCAACCCCAGCTCTGGCCGGGCCTAATTGTTCGCGGCTCTAGGAGCTCGGAGGACCAGGGTACCTGCTAGAGCGGCGCACGTGACGCGCGGTGACCTCATTTGCCTGACGAGCCCGCCCACAATCTAACATGTTTGACTTTGCCCGATAACCCCACTGTCATCGAAGGCAGCCTTGACGAGCCACCATCCCACCAAATATCCTCTGCTTTCTGCCCGCCCGAAGCCACTAGGCTTATTTTGATACGCCATAAACTAAGAAAAATCATCTTGGGTGGTGTTTCGTTCGCAGTGGTAGTTTCACTTTCATTTTCTAGCGTTCAACAAATCAGACTTCGCTCGCTTGCTCGACAAACCGTTACGATGCCTCCAAAGAAGGTCGACAAAAATGCTGGTGGCGGTGGAAAGAAGGCCTCGGCCTCCAAGCTGGTAGAGGACCGGACATTTGGAATGAAGAACAAAAAGGGAGCTGCTGCTCAAAAGCAGATTGACCAAATGACGAGGAACCTCAAATCTGGAGGTTCGGCCGAGGAGAAGAAAAAGGCCGCCGAGAAGGCAGCAAGAGAGAAGGAGAAGAAGGCCGCCGAGGACGCTCGACGAGAAACGGAGGCTCTCCTCAATCGTCCAGCCCAAGTCCAGAAAGTCCCCTTCGGTGTTGACCCCAAGACGGTTGTGTGCATTTTCTACAAAAAAGGCAATTGTGAGAAGGGAAAGAAGTGCAAGTTCGCACACGACCTATCCATCGAACGCAAAACCGAAAAGGCGAACCTATACACAGATACAAGAGGAGAGGAGGATGAGAACAAGAAACAGGAGACATCTGCAGATTGGGACGAGGAGCAACTGCGGAAGGTCGTGCTGTCTAAGAAGGGTAACCAACGGACAACTACGGAGAAAGTGTGCAAATTCTTCATTTCGGCGATTGAGGATGGAAAGTACGGATGGTTCTGGATCTGCCCTAACGGGGGAGATAAATGCATGTACAAACATGCACTTCCACCTGGGTGAGTCATCAGGCGATCTTCCACCGGTTTACTGGTTGGATCAGAGAAAGCACACACACTGACACTACTGTAGTTTCATTCTTAAGACAAAAGAACAGCGGGCTGCAGAGAAGGCACTTCTCGATAAGTCGCCGCTCAAGACGTTGACGTTGGAAGACTTCCTGGAATCAGAACGCCATAAGCTGACCGGAACTCTCACCCCGGTCACACCAGAGTCTTTCGCGAAATGGAAGAAGGGGCGTCTTGACAAGAAGGCTGCTGAAGAGCAAGCTCGAAAGGCCAAGGAAAACACTGGTCGCTCTCTGTTTGAGAGTGGCAAGTGGCGGGATGAAGATGACTCGGGTTCTGATGACGATGATGACGACGTATGGAATCTGGAGAAGCTAAGGAAGGAAACAGAGGCACTCCGCCAGAAGAAGGAGGACGATCGTCTTGTCCAGTCACACATTGGTGAAGTAGCGCTAACGCCACCTGAGCCAGATGTTGAAGGTGAGGCAGAAGCATCAGCAGCTTGAGCCGCCCTACTGTGATGGTTATGGTGGCCCAATTAACATATGGGAACGCTCTTTGGTGGGGGCTAAAAGGCTACCAGTGGCTATCTTGAACATAGATTAGACTCACTTATAGGCACGCAGGTCTGTAAGGTTTGTAGTCGTCTGTTTCTCTGATGGTGGAACACATCCACCTCTGGTCCCTGGTAGTAAGGACTCGACACTACGGTCCCTCCTGACCTCTCGCAACAGTTGAGAGCCAAGCACCAGATACGACGTGCCCTCGGTTGGCTTCCAGTCTATTGTATTATTCACATGACGAAATGGTCCGTGAACTGAGCTGGAGTGCTCCTCCGGCCCGTTGGCGGACTTGTGGTTAAAAGGATATTTGGACAGCGACGATACAGCTGCTGAATTGGGGCTATCTCTGAGCATTTTAATTGGACGGGTTTTTTGGAGCTGGCGATTAAATCCATGGGAGACATGAATGTAAAAGAGGAGTTGAACACATATAGCATTATCGAAACATTGGACGGGTTGCATATTGCAGATCCCTTTGGGGCGGGGCTGGATCCCTCCATGGCTGCTTATCCCCAGCTGTGATTTCATAGTGGTGCTGTCAACAACGACAGATTGGGAAAGATCTGTCTGGCTTGCGAGGTATGTGCTGCGGCTGCGTCTAGTTGTGGGAGGAGATGGCACATCCAAGGTAATCTGTCGTATTGCTGCTCGTTCACAGGACGCACTAGCGAAGCACATGCTTTGGGCACCAGTAATACCGACACATGGCGACAGCGGGCCGGATAGCGCACTAGCACCCGATCGGCGGGTGAACCTGTTTGCCGATGCTCGCTATCCGGGTGCTGCCCGTGCAGTGAGCCAGTTCGGTGGTGAGCGCCCTGCCAGGCCAGCCGGTGTTTATCGTAGCACCAGACCTGCCTAACCTTGCCCGTTCGGCGAGCCGTCGACGTGCTGTTGAGCGCTGAGGCCCCGCGGCACAGTGGCGTGGGTACGGCAGATGGCCTCGTCCGGGGGCTTCTGGTTGGTGGGCGGCATCACTGCTCGGTGGAGGGGAGTGGAGGGAGGGGGCATTTTGGGGGACACAGCCGAAAGACCCTGTCCGACTGGAGCGTGCCAATTAAGCTCTGCCAAACTCCAACGGGGTCAGTCGTCCCCAACACCATGGGTCGCATCCTCCCTCTCGTTCACTCATGCCCGTCCATATCGACCTGGAATTGCACCACCTAGACGAACGGCTGTTCATTCATCCCAGAGGAGCCTAGCCTGACTCCGATTGGCCTCGCCCTGTTCCCTTTTCCGTCCCTCTGCCGTCGTGGAGCTGGGTGTCTGTGGATTGGATTAGCCTCCCTCGCCGATCGGTGCCATCTCGTCCCCCGCCCCAAACCACCAGATTGACCGGATTCCCAAGGCACCGACCGGCACACCCACCGCACTGCGAAACGAACGAGACTGGGAGAGGCCCTTGATGGACCTTCGGCGCTTGACGACTGGCCGTGCTGCGACCGCGCCCAGGACTCTGGTCTCTCGTGAGGCCTCAGTCTGAGGCGCCCTTGTTCCCTTGCCCTGAAGCATGACTGCTGCAGAGGCCAGAATCGACCATCACCAACATGTCGCCCCAGCTCGTCCCGCGCCCGCTGCCATGAATCAGTCCGACTCCGGTGCGGGCAGCAGCCGCCGGCAAACCAACAATGTTTC